ACCCTGATTATTGCTGGTTCTGCAAAATCAGAGGCTCTGTGAACACAGAAGGCTGTGGTCACAAACATGAGGACTTTGTTTAGTAACGCTCAGCCGAGTCAGTGTGACTTTGAAACCACTTTTTCTTGAGCGCTTAAAGGTGGGTTGTAGGGGCGCCTGGGTGGCTCAGTTGGTTAAGTGTCCGATTTCAGCTTGGGTCATGATCTCGCAGTTTGCAGGTTCCAGCCCCACGTCGGGCTCTGTGCTGACAGCTCAGAGCCTGGAGCCTGCTTCAGATTCTGTGTGTGTCTCTCTCTCTGCCTCTCCCCCACTGTTCTCTGTCTCTATCAAAAATAAATAAGTCTAAAAAAATTTTAAAACAATGAAGGTGGGTTCTAATTAGATTAGATCTTCTCAAAGAAGTAAAAATTGATTCACAGATTCAGTATGTGATGCTCACGGGAACAGCGTGTGGCAGCCTGCCCCGCTCCCTGTGGCTGCCGTAACAAAAGTGACAAACCACGGCAGCCTGCTGCAGGAACACCGTGGCAGTCTGCCCCCCACGGTCTCCGAAGGCCAGGAGTCCCGACTGAGGTCGCAGCAGGGCCACACCCTCTCTGGAGGCCCCCGGGGAGGCTGTCCCTGGCCTCCTCACTTCTGGGGCTGCGGGTGATTCCTGGCGCTCTCCGCCTGTGACAGCACAGGGGCTGGGGCTCTGCGTCCGTGTCCTCGTGGCCGTTCCGCTGTTTGTGTCTGTGCCCTGATTTCCCTCCTCTTCCAGGGACACCGGCCATCAGATTTAGGGCCTGTGCTACTCCACAAATGACTTCATCCTAAGCCTCTGCAAAGACCACATGCGACCCTAAACAAGGTCACATTCGCGGGTCCCCGGTGGACGTGAACTCTGGGGGGACACTATTCGACCCAGTACACAGACCCCTCCTGACTTCTCCTGCCTCAAGGGATGGCATCAGCTACTGTCCAGGAACCTTGGTTCCTTTTAGGGCAGACGGGTTTTGAGGAAAAAATCCGGAAGGTCAGCGGTGCACGGAGTGTCGAATCTGGGGGGAGGGCACGTGCCGCTGGTTTTGCAGCTGCGTTCATCTTCACAGGTCCCGGGATGAGGACGCGATGTCCTGGGGCCTTTGCTGCCTCCTGGGGGGCTCCCGAAGGGATGCACTCAACAGGGCTCTCCCCGCAGCCCGCGTTCCCGCACAAGTTTCCGATCAAGGGTGGTGGACGTATGAGACCAGGAGGGTCCTCGGCTCCGTCCCCACTCCGGTCGCCTGCCTCTAGCAAGCAGCTCTGTGGCTTCTCTGTCCTCTAGTGGCCAGGTTTCTGCCTGCTGGCACCGTGCGCTCAGGGACAGGACTTACTGCCCTGGCCACTGGACTTCCTGCCCAGATCCCCGTGTCTCTTCTCGAGAGACCCCCAGGCCAGCTGCAGCAGCCCTCAGCCCACCGTGGAATGTATGCTCTTTCCCACGGCAGGAGCTAGCCCTCCTCACCCCCGTCTGCCCTCGGAAAGCACCGGTGTCCCTCGTGTGTCCAGCATCGGTGCCGTCTGGTGGTCCAGGCTTGTTTAGGTGGTTTCTGCGTTTCCATGAGGACGCAGTGCCGCAGAGCCAGGGGCTGGGAGACCCCCCGCGGGGGTGCCCAGAGGCAGGTGCCCTGGGACCCTCGCCGCCAGACTCCATCCCAGTTTTCCAGCTCAGAAGAGACAAGTGACGTGACTATGAGGGTCTCAGGGATGCTCACCCGCCCCAGTTTAAGGCACTGATGTGGTCTGCACGGCCCCGCTGGATCGATGGGCACCCCCACCCCCTTCACAATAAGCCAACGGCCAGGGAGGCCCAGCCCCAAGCTGGGCTCCTGAGTCTGCTGGGCTCCTCCTCTTCTGAGGGGACAAGGGTCCCAAAGCCCAGGGCCCGTCCTCTGGGAGCAGCTGTGGGTGAACATGGTGGGGGGGGGGCACATGAGGCGGAGGGTCCAGAAAGTTCCAGGAGGCCAGTGACCACTTTGGCAGCCCTCACTGGTGCCGAGAGCCGCTGCTCGGCTGTGTTCTTTGTTCAGTCTGATCCTGACTGCGGAGGGATCCGAGGCCCCGTGGGTGTCTGGGACCCTTCCGTAACTTTCTCCTGAAGCAGATTCCACCCAACAACTGCTGTCCACCTGACCTCAGGTGGCGTCGAGGCCTCAGGGGCTACTCCCGGCCTCAGTCTCCCTGCATCTCCCCATCTGACCGCCCTTCCGTTTTTACAGGCGATCTGCTCTGCAGGCAACCCCCGTGTCTGCCAGGTCCCCTTCTGAGCACCGCACCCCACGCTTGCCTCCAGGAAAGTCTCCCCCTGCTCCCCGGGGGCGCCCCTGACCCCCTCACCCCCCGGGATGATGACACCCATGCGACCTAGGCCTGTCCTGTCATCGACGGTCGGGGTAAGCCAGGGTCTTCCTTGGGTTTTCCACACAGAGAGGGCGAGCGAGAGAGAAGGAATTTCTTTCTGATGAAAGGAAGTGAGAGATTGAACCTGGAAGAGCCACACAGTGGGGCGAGGGCGGTTGGGGGAGGAGTGAGCCCAGCCGGGCGCGGGCCGAGTCCGGCAGGAACAACCCGGCAGCCCGTCCCCCCGGCCTGAGGCCATCTCCCCGCAGTGCAAGCCGGGAACCCTCCCTCATCCCTCGGCTACCCCACCTGGTGTCCTACTGCAAGGCCGTGACCGCTCACGGGGAGGTCGCGGGGTACCCCGCCTGGGGACGTGAGCATCTCACCGGGGGTCGTGGGGACACAGCTTACCTCGCACTGTCCCTTCCTCGTGGGGTCCGCCTGCAGGGCAGCCAAGAGGCCCCACACGAGCTCCTCCACAGTCTGCACAGTGCGCACGGGCGAACATGGGGAGTCTACGCAGCAGACAAGAAGAGTCTGGAAGGTCAGGTTTATTTATTTATTTATTTATTTAAAAAAAATTTTTTTTTTCAACGTTTATTTTATTTTTGGGACAGAGAGAGACAGAGCATGAACGGGGGAGGGGCAGAGAGAGAGGGAGACACAGAATCGGAAACAGGCTCCAGGTTCCGAGCCATCAGCCCAGAGCCTGATGCGGGGCTCGAACTCCCGGACCGCGAGATCGTGACCTGGCTGAAGTCGGACGCTTAACCGACTGCGCCACCCAGGCGCCCCTGGAAGGTCAGGTTTTGAAGAGACCGCCGCGGGGGGCTCTGCCCTCTGTCTGCCCGTGTCCGCAAGGCTCCCCGCACGCCCACGAGGGCAACCGTCCCGAGCTGAGTCTGCACGGCCTGCCCCCGGGGTCTGCCTCGCCCTGCCGGCCACCATGCCTCTGCGACCCGCTCGCACGTTACCCAGCAGCTTCCGGCTCAGGGGCCACTCCGCACTGGGAGGGCTGGGCAGGTGGGGGCCGCACTCCAGCCCAGTGTGACCGCTGTGTCCCGGGAGCACACTTCTCTCCTACTTCCTCCTTCCTTCCGGGAGATTCTCGTGACTTCCTGCGTCCCCTGCTGCTGGCTGCTTCTAACCTCGAGTCAAAGGGAGATGGGATCCAGTTTTGAAATGGAGTAAGAACCTTCACCTCCAACTGCGGGGCGTTTCTAGCTCCCTAGAGATTTCCTGGAGTCAAAGAGCCCAGCGTCCCGCAGGCTCCTTTAGTTAAATTCCCCTTCAGCTGCTCGTCTCCTGGTCCTTCGCTCGCAGTGACTCTTGGGTCTCTGTGTCCTTTGGCATTGTCAGCTCCTATAGTGCCCAGTTTGGAGGATGAGGCACCCCCCCCCCCCCCCCGCCCCAAACCCAACACCCTGGACTGCCTTCTTGTCCCTCCATGACCCCTGTGTTTGCCCCGGTGCCCTGGTGCGGTCTAGCTTCTTCGATTGTACTTTGCGAAGGAATAAGGAAAGGTACGCATATCCCATTTCCCCGGAGGTAGAAACCCAAGGATTCTTTCAAGGGACTACCTCCTATCTCCTGGAGACGTCTCTGGACTTTGGGGCTTTGGCTCTTGTCCCCCAGAATACCGCGTCTCTGTCTTCCCTCCGTGTCCCTTACACAAGCGTGCACCTGATACAAACTCTACACACATAGGCTTCCTGTGGCCTTTGCAAGTCTAACGTTAGCCCACTATTATTTCAGTTTAATTGGCCCGCATTTTGCCTTGACGAGCATACTGCCCGGATCGTGCGTGTTTTCCGGACAGCGGACCCGGGGCTGCAGAGGTTCACATGCTCAAATGAAATCATCGTTCCTTAACGTTATGTGCTGCGCACGTCTCTGGGACGTTCATCCTCACGTCTGAGTTGTTGCTCAAGATGAAAGGGGGTATGAGATCTAATCTCTGGCTTTCGGGTGATGGTAGCCACATGGCTTGGTCTCGTTAGAGCGCGTCTCCATATGTGCGGAAGCGGCCCTTTCCTTTGTTTGCCAAATACTAGAAAGTAGAGAGCTGAGATAGAAGACCAGGGCAATCGGCATGTGCTTACAGTCTTACGTGACTCCTTCACATCTCTTCTGGAATACGGCTGGGAGGAAATAAATGTGCTTATGCCTGAAACCAAGCAATGAGCAACATACACAGTCCAGCCTCCGGGCTAACTGCTGGAACTTTCTTCTCCCCCTCTTTTCTGAACCATTCAGATGGAACAGTAGGATTCTGTTAGGTGTTCAGAGGCCGCTGCGAGTGCCAACACCATAAGGAATCATATGGGGGCGCTGAGAGCCGTCACTTACTTCCTTTGTCCCTCGGTGGCTGTATCACCCACTCTGTGTCCCCAGCCTCAGTAGCTAATCCTTGCTTACCTTAAATATGGTTTGCTGTCACTTCTTTTTTTATTGCGGTGAAATAAACATAACACAAAATTGACCATCAGTGACATCTAGCACATGATGTTGTGCAACCACCACCAGAACATTTTTGTCTTCCAGAAGGAACCCCGCTCCCACTCGCGGTCAGCGCCCCCGCGCCCCCACCCTGGGCCCTGCAACCACCAATCACGTTGTGTGTCTGGATTTGCCAACTCCAGACGCTTCCTGTAAATCGTATCTTACTACGTGTGGCCCTTTGTGTCTGGCTTTTTTCTCACTCAGCATGATGTTTTCAAGTAAATGCTGCGGCTTTTGTGTCTTAGGACTCCTCAGTGCTTTTTGATGTGGCAGGAGTGACAAGGCTAGATCTGGAAGGTTCTGAGGTCGCGTGCTGGGATGGTAATCTATCAGTGACGGGGCCAACCACGAGGGGACACTCTCCAAATACGGTTGATGGATGACCCCAGTGGGGAGCAATGTGGTGCAATGTCTGATTTAGGACCCAGGACCTATACATAACAGTCACGTGGGTACCCTGGGGGAAGGTTTCCTGTAATTCGCCTTATACCGATGACTGATCAAGTTGACAAAAATAATTTTGAACATAAAATGGTGTATTAAGAAACAAAAAGTTAACCCTTGGCCTTTTTTGTACCGTTTTCACCTCAGAGTCCTTAAAAGATACGTTAATTATCTTTTGTTTTCGTGTTTCGGTAAATGCACAGTGTAACTGTGATAAAGCATTTCCACGGACAGGGAAGAGGCTGTGTGGCATTTTCCAAAGCAGTCGGAGCAAATACACCAGTTAGGTCATGTAATTTAATCATCATTTGCACATGCTCTACTTTGGCAGGGTTGCTATATTTCTATTTACGCCCACATCGGCGGCCCCCGCGACGTGGTCAACGTGCTGGATGCAGAGGGGCAGGGGCTGAGCCATTGCAGTCCCCAGCAAGGGAATCCTTGGTTTCCCAAAAGCCATGTCACCTTCTCTTTGTTTCTTTTTCTGCCACTTGGGAGTGGTGTTTGTTCATTCGTTTCTGGAACTCTTGGATTATTCTCCTGACGTTTAAATCTATTCCTGGAAGCTCCAAAAGTTGCTTCGTTGAAAGGAAAAATGAGAACAAATTTCCCTTCTTGGAGATCTGGCACTTTGCTCTAGTCCGAGGCGACGCACGGGGCGATGCTTGTCTGGTGGGTGCACGCTTGGATGAGGGACACGAACTGAATGAGCGCCTTGTGGGGCGTGTGTCTGCCCTTTAACTTTGGCTTGGTTTGGGGGCTTCTCTTGTTGAAAGGAGAAGGTCTTTCTTCCTACTCGGCATTTCCCTAGGCTGGGAGGCACGTTTACTCTCGGGACATATCTTTACGGCTTCTTCACTGCAGATTCCTCCTTAAACGGTCTGCCCATGACCGGAAAGAGGGACTCACGAGGAAGGGTTCTGCCCATGCGGTTGAGCCCACCGGCATCCAGCTCCGCGAGGGGGACCCCGCCGCTCCCCCGGGACCGTCACTGCCCTCTGCCCTCCCGTGCCTCAGACCCCGCAAGTAAATCAGCTCAGCAGTGTCGTGGATGAGTTTTCTCTTCAGACACGTCCGCCGAACAATCCACGGACAGGGCAGGGCTGAAGTTGACCTCTAGCGGCCACGGGGCAAGGCTGAAGTTGACTTCTAGCGGCCACGGTTTCAAGTTGTCATCAATCAAAATATCAAACCCAAAGAGCTCTAAGCAGTTGGCCGTAAAGGGGACCGAGGGAGTGATGGCGAGCCCCGTGAGAATAGCCACGTGGTGGATTTTCTGCCACAGAAGCAGGCCATCCACGTCCCAGCTGCGAAGGTAAGAGAAGGACCGGCTGAGGGTCTACTTGTTGCCGCGACCGATCACTTCTTTGATTTTCTCATACGAGGCCCCGGACTTGTTGATGCCGAGGTTGGTCAAGGGGGCATAACTGTTTTGCAGATTACTCAGGTCGAACTTCTCCGTGGCAAAGCGCGCTAACCCTTCCTGATAAACGTAAACGGTCAAAGGCTTAAAGCCCGTGGTACAGACGCAGATGCGGAGGTCAGGTTTACCTCTGCCCACGAGGAAAGGGTGGCAGGTATATTTCGGTACTATGTATGTATCATCAAAGACTAAGCCTTTAATGTCACTGGAAATGATGATCCCCGTCCCGCGAGATGGCTCCACAGGCTCGCAGGTCCAGGAGCTGCGCTTTGCGGCCGTCACGTGCTTCTCCTGCGAGTATTCAGCCATGAACTTGTTGTAGTCGTGGGGCATGACGAACGTCAGCGGGATGAACTCGTGCAGGGGGCCGCCGGACGTCCTCTTCCATGCGCTTCAGGTGCCTGGCCAGGCGGTCCTTCCGGTCCGCCTGGTGGTGCCCGGGTGGTGGTTCAGCCGTTGCCCCGGCTTCACGCGGACGCGCTCAGTCATCCGGCAGGAGGAAGTCCCGCAATACAGGTTCCAGTCGTCGCTGTTCTGCCCTCCTTCATCAAATTTGTCCCACCCTCGCTCCAGCAGGATGCTCTGCACCACTTCCGGCGTTCTGTCGTCCACAGGGAACACCGGTGGCTTCGGGATGGCCCCCGAAGGTCTGCCTTCTGCCATCAAATAAGGTTTTCTTTTCTAAAAACCGATGATCAGAAAAGCGTTAGAGGGTGGGCAGGGAGGTCGTATCCTAGAGGAGCTTTTACATAAAGGAGCCCGCATCCTACGGTCAGCTGTCCGGTCTGCCTTCCCTGACATCATTCGCCAGATAACCTGCCCCCTGCACGGGTCCGCCCATCTCTGCTGCCCCTGCAGAAGCTGACGGGCCCCTCCCTGTGCGTTCTGTCACTCCAGAGTTACCTGCTTACTGCCTCCTCTTAGCGACATGTTAAAACGTTGGCAGTCACAACGGTGACCTGAGGGTTACTCTGCCGTAGGCCTGTACCTTCAGTGAATCCTGTTGACCTGAAACATGGGCATTCTTTAGAAAAAGCAAATGTCAGGTTCTCTCCAGTTAGATGAATCTGAACATGCCAAAGAAAGGTGATGTGTGGGTGTTACGTGGTTAGCTAGGGTCTTATCAGCCTGAGAAGCTTCGGGAACTTAGGCCAGACCCCTGTGGTGGCCACCAGCACCTGCCTCATATGCCCAGGGGTCAGAGGCCGTGTTCCTTCAAGTTCATGGTAACTTGCAAGGAAAATAGGAAAAATTTGAGGTTTTAGAAATTCATTCTGCAAAAACAATGATTATGTGAAGATTGCGCTTCCCATTTTGCAAGACGCCCAGAAAGTGCATATTCGACATTTTCCTGAAATTTCAAAGACAGAAAATCAGATTGTTTTGGAGAAAAATCAAAGCTGATGATGAGGCATGATGTTGTATTATGACCTACGGTGGGTGGGGGGGGAGTGAGAAAGCCAACGCCTCTTGGGGGAGATGTCGCTATTCCAAAATCCTAAAACAAGGTGCTCATCAAAACTGCCACATTCAGGCAATTCTGACTTATTTCTTTGATGATGTTAGCATTGTTCGTGCATAACTTACCTTATAGCGTGACATAACTTATTTGGTGGAAATCCTGTGGTGTTTGAGAGGCTCTGATTGATGCCCAAGGAGTAACTCTGACAGGTGAAGGCAGTCTGGCCGGAGGGAAAGTGGGCGGGAAGGAGGGAGGAGGTCGAACTTGTCACCCACCTGCTTCTCCAGATTTGAAGTTGGGAAGAGTCGGGGAGCGGCGAAGGAGTCTCCTTGTTTTCTGAGGCCAGCTGCTGACTATGGTAGGCTCTGATCCGAGGCTGCTGACGGGCTGGGACAGTGGCTCTGAAAGAGGGTCCAGAAGCGCTGTGAACACAAGCCGTGTCAATACATGACCTCGCGTTTGTCGGTGTTGTTACTGCTTTGGCGAGGAGGGGCCCCCGGGAGCTACAGCCCCAGCGCGGCTGTTGAGAAATTCAATCTTTGCAATTTACGGCACTGTTTTCAAGCTGTGTTCAATGATGTTAACATGTTATAGTAGTGTGTGTGTGTGTGTGTGTGTGTGTGTGTGTGTGTAAGGGGGAAGATCAAAAATAATTATGGGAGCTGGATCAAACACAGTTAAAAACGTTCCTTCTCTTGGGCACCTGGGCGGCTCAGTTAGTTGAGTGTCTGACTCTTGAATCAGTTCAGGTCATGATCCCAGGTCGTGGGATCGAGCCCCGTGCTGGTCTCTGTGCGGAGCGTTGGAGCCTGCTTAAGATTCTGTCTTGGGGCACCTGGGGGGGGGCTCAGTCAGTTAAGCATCCGACTTCGGCTCAGGTCGTGATCTCAGAGTTCGTGAGATCGTGCCTTATGCCGTCAGCATGGAGCCCACTTGGACTCCCTCTCTCCCCCCTACCCTGCTTGTGCCTGTGTTCTCCCCCTCTCCCTCTCTCTCAAAATAAATTTAAAAAAAAGTTTAGTCTCTTCCTAGCTCCAAGACACATGCCATCTTTCCCAAACTTAGTTGATCATGGAGCCCTCCTAAAATTTGTGTCCCATTAGTTAGCATTTCACAAAAGCAGCGTGGGAAATATTGAGTCAGGCAAACCTGATGGGATATTGTCCCATTCCTGGCAACCTCCACCTTCCCAGCCTGGGAAATAAACCTCTCAGGAAAGGACAGTGTGGCCTTCTGGGGGGCGCCTGGCTCCGTCGGGAACCAGCACGCGGTGGCTCGAGCCCGGCCTTCTCCGGCTCCACAGGTCAGCGGACGAGAACAGACCCAGGAAATGCCATCTTGAGGCCGGCCGGCAAACCTGGGTTTCCTGGAACCAAGAAAGCCGATCAATCATCCTCTGGAGACGTGAAGCGTATGGTCTGATGGGACTCTGGCTGTTCACTGGGACGCTTGTGCAACACCCACTGGGCCCGTGTCAGCTGAGTGTCCACTTGCCTGTGAAAATTCGTTGAGAAACCAAATGTGTAATTAAGAGTTTTCTCTGCTCAACACAAGGTCTGGAGCCACTGAAGTGTCTTTCATCCAGCCTCTTTCAGACAGACGGACAGACGCTGCGGACAGCACACGGTTCCGTCTGACGAAGAAACGCACGTGGGAGGGGGCAGGCGTCGTGATTAAAAACTGGTTGGGGACAAATTCGGAAGCCCTCTGTAGGACGGGGGAGGTGATGCGGGCTGTGAGGACCGGGTGGGGGGAGCCTGCAGAGGCCCCTTCCCGTGCCCAGGCACGCCGTCCGGCCCAGGGGGCGTCATGGGGCACATCCCCGGTCGCTCGGCTCTCGCCTCCCACGCCTGTAGAGGAGGAAGTGCTCATCTTAAGGTGAGCGCGGCCGTTCCCGTGAGTGTAGATGTGGGCCGAAGGCCACCTGCTGGAGGGGACCAGGACACAGCCTCTTTGCGTGCTCACGGGCGCTGGAGCCACGTGCCCCCCCCCTCTTCTGGAGCAGGGTGGCCCAGCCACCTGTCACACCATCCTCTCATCTCAGAGGTGGTTTCCTTGCAGCTATGAGTGAAGCTGTCCACGGAGACTTTCATAATAGCCTACTTTCTCCCTTGGTCTGAGCCTCATCTCTAGGAGGGAGGACAGTGAGGAGGTCACACCGCTCATGGCCACGGCAGGACGAGCCACGGGTGGGCTCCAGCTCCAGGTGTGGCCATGTGGTCCGTGGACATAGGAAGAGAACCCGTGAAATGCACATGTGGTTCCCCTCTGTATGGTGTCCAAAGGTTGACCTCCTGCTGATGAAGGAGGAGGGGAGGGGGGAACGGAGAGGGGAGGTGGAGGGAGAGGTGAGGGAGGAGGGGAAGGGAGGAGGGGAAGGGAAGAGGGGAGGGAGGAGGGGAAGGGTGGAGGGGAAGGGAGAGGGGAGGGGAGAGGTGAGGGAGGAGGGGAAGG